GAAAATTCTCACTTGACTACAGGCAGATCCAGGACATTGGCAGTACCAGTAAGATTGTACGAGAGCTTCGGCTTGCCAAGGAACAGAACGTGAACTCCGCCCACCAGAGGGAGGTCCTTCACCAAAGGCTTCATCACGATTCGTAACCTCCCACTCAACTGTGATTAGGGAGGAAATGATCGTCTGAAAGTTATTCGCCATGATCTATAAATCTGAAATATAACGAGTGATTTCCGTTCTTAGTTTGATCATATACTACTACATTGATAAAATCGGTCTGCTTAAAGCTTTCCTAATCATTACTTTTACATCGTTTTAATCTTCATCACCTTAGGATATTCGATGTTGTATGTACGAAACAGCTTTCATAAAATGAAATTCCACATGAAACCTTAATCTTTAAGAGAATCATACCCATAAGAACAGGCTCCACGGACCTAAAACTACACTAAATATCATTAATAAATAACCTTACGAAAAAATACAGCCATTTCAACACAAAACGGTGGGACAGTACCTGCATATCTTCGATCCCGATTGGCATATCCGATATACTCGCCTTGATCTTGCCGTCACCGAAATACCTGGTAAAATATCATTTTTAAGTGACATATCTTAGACACATAACTTAATACTTTTAGGAGGGAGGGGAAAGAGAGGGTGAAGAAGGAAGAAACAGAAGCAGAAAAAAAATAACTGGAAAACAACAAAAACAACAACAATAATAACAACAATACTAAGAACAACAAGAATAACAACAGTAATGATGATAATAATAATAATAATAATAATAGTGATAATGATAATAACAATAACAATGACGACGATGATGATTATAATAGACATAATTAATCTTATTATAATGACAATTGAAGGGGAGTTAAATGGATAAATTAATATAATGCTAAAATTTAGACGAAAAAAGACGAAGATGAAGAAAAAATCAAAGAAATTTGGAGAGGAAAAAGAGATGGAGAAAGGATAGTTTAAAAAGGAGGGAAAAAATATAAACTTTCCCCATGACTTTAAGCCCAAATGCTAATGACAGCAGCTATGATAAAAAAAAAGATGATAGAATAACATCAACAATAATAATAATAACGATGATAATGATAACAAAGAATAATACCGCCACCAACAACAATAACGATACAAAAGAACAACAACAACAACAATCATGATAAAAACTAACAATAACAATACTGATGACAAAAAACAAACAAACAAACAACAGAAGCGCCACGCCTCACTCGCAGTCCACATCCATGACGACCTCCGGCAGCGCCTGGTCATCGTACACCTTGATCCCCGTAAACCTCGGCGGCGTCTGGCCGAGCTCGACCTCCTCGAAGCGGAAGGACTTGAGCTTGTACACCTCGAGGGCCGAGCGGAGGGCCGGCCCAATGGTGTTTCTGCACAGCTCATTTGCATACTGCTCCGCGCTCGGCCACAGCTGGCGGATCAGCTGCAAGGAAGAGGAGATTATAAATGACGATACTCTATGGTTGATTTTCTGAGCGACATTTAATAAAAAAAGTCTTATTACGGGGTGCGAAGCGTGACATAAATTCGCGATTATTATCTTATTATTATTATTATCATATTATCGATTATTATATCATTATTATTATTATCATCAACTTATAATTATCTGCAAGCGATAAGGAGTGCTTTAAGTCAAAATTAATGAAGATTAAAGATCACGCCATTCAAAAAATAGCGTTACTAATGACTAATAATGGTGATGACCAAGGTGATGATTATGATGATAAATGAACGAGCGAATTGTAATGATAACAGCTTAAAACAATAATATTAAACTTTATCAATACAACTGAAAATAATTGTAAACAGTAATACTAATAAATTACTGAAGATTGCTAATGCTAATAATAATAATTAAGGCCATAATTGCTAATAATAGTGATACAGTAATCATAATGCTAATAATAATAATAATGATAATAGTGAAAATAATACTCTTTATTAATAAAAGTGATGATGGTGATTACAGCAGCAGAACTGATAAAGAATAAATAACAATAACAAAAACTTCAACAAACAAAATGACGATGATGATGATGACAATGACAAGGATGATGACGTGATGACGATGATCACAATAAATTATTATTATCATTGTTATCATTACTATCATCATTGCGACTATTGTTATTTTGATTAATAATATTATCATTATAATTACTATTATTACTATCACCATCATTATCATTTCTATTCCTATTACCATCATTATTACTATTAGTAGTAGTACTCCATCAATAACAGTCATTATTATTCCTATCATCATAATCATTACTATTACTATCACCGTCATTACTATTAATGGTGGTACTGCTACTACTACTGCTAATAATAATAATAATAATAATAATAATAAATAATAATAATATATAATAATGATAATAATTATAACAATAATAATAATAATAATGAGAGGAATATACCGACGGGTATGGGCTATACCCGTTTGTGAAGA